TGTGGCCTCTCCCGTTGCGGAGCACAGGCTCCGGACGCGCAGGCTCAGCGGCCATGGCTCACGGGCCCAGCCGCTCCGCGGCATGTGGGATCTTCCCGGACCGGGGCACGAGCCCGCGTCCCCTGCATCGGCAGGAGGACTCTCAACCACTGCGCCACCAGGGAAGCCCGGGATTCTGTATTTTTACCCACTGCCTGAGATGATTCTTCTGCTTTTGCAAGCTGGAGAAACGCTCTCCTGAGGTGCCTTATCCACAGATGGGCTTCTGCTCTGCCATCCTTCCAGACTTCCCGTGATGGTCACCACCTCAGGAAGCCCACCCGATGCTCCTCCCCGTGAGGGTGATGATAACAGTTAACATGTACTGCGCTCTCACTGTGGTCCAGCAGCGTTCTAAGTACTGGGTGTCTAGGGACTGCCTTAATCCCTGGGAGGGGATGCTGTTGTGATCTCCGTCATAGCTAAAAAAAACTGTTGTGGCTGTTCCTTAGCCAGGAGGAAGCTCTCAGAAAGCACAGAGAGGTTGATCAGGTTACCTAGAATCACACAGGTAGAAAATATCAAGAGCTGAATTCTGAACCCAGGAGTGTGTCTTCAGAGCCCTCACTCTGTCGCCTAATGTGACCAGGTCACACCTGCCTATCTCATGGTCATCTTGTGGGCTGAGGGCTGACTTACAGGCAGGCATTGTACAACCCTGGGGCCCAGCAAGGTTCTATGTATGTGCTAAGGGCACCAGTCAATATGTGTGTCAGGATAAGAAAGAACAGGGATGACTGGAGGGCCTGGTGAATTCAGGAAGATGCCCTGGGTCTTTGTTTGGGGATGAGAAGGATGCGAGGAGAGATAAAGGATGGATAAAGTTAAGTATAAGCAGCAGTGCCTCAGCTTCCCCAAAAGGACCATCGCTGCCTTTTTCTCCGGCAGGTGCAACCTGGCCCCGGTGCAGGAGTACGCCCGGGATGTGGGGCTCAAGACAGACCTGGTGACCATGAACCCCTCTGTCATCCAGCGGGCCTTCGAGGACTTGGTCAACGCCACGTGGCGGGAGAAGCTGCTGCAGCGGCTGCACAGCCTCAACGGCAGCATCCTCTGGATCCCCGCCTTCATGGCCAGGGGCGGCAAGGAGCGGGTCGAGTGGGTCAACGAGCTCATCCTGAAACACCGCGTCAACGTGCGTACTGCATACCCCTCTCTGCGCCTGCTGCACGCCGTCCGCGGGTGAGCAGCCACGGGGTGCGGGGGGTGCTTGAGAGGCAGTTTTCCTTTCCCAGGTGCATTTGCAGCCCAGCTCCACCTCTCACTCGTTGTCTGACCTCTGCAAGTCACCTGGCCTTTCTGAGCCTCCCTTCCTGGAGAAGCAGGCTGGCCAATGTGTGGCATGTGGCGTGCCAGTTCTGAGCAATCTGTTGCCCCCACCCAGAGAGCGGTGTGGAGAATGATCCTCGGACAGCCACTGGGTGGAGGAGAAACCATAGGGGTCAAAAAGGAAAGCAGGAGTATCTGTTGGGAAGCGGTTGCAAGAGTCCAGGTTGGGAATCACAGTGGCTTAGACTGGGACAGTGGTAGTAGATATGCAACACTTTGGTCAGATTTGCTAGAACATTTGGAGTAGAGGCAGCAGGATTTGCTAATGGATTCTATTTAAGGACCTCAAGGGGTGAGAGAAAGAGAGAAATCCAGGATGGCTGTCGGGGTTAGAGTTGGAGCAGATGTGTGGACAGTGGTGCCATTCTCTGTGATGGGAGAGTCTGGAAGAAATCTGTGTGTGTTTGGGCATGTTGAGGAAGAGAGCTCTTTCTTGGGCATATTTACTGTGAGATACCTGTTACAAATACATCTCGTGACACTCCTGACTGCCAGCTTGGCCCTGCATCCAGTGGTCCATGCAACCACCTGGCAGTTCACAGTCCTGCTCTGGTGACATAAGACAGTTTCTGGGGGACATTGGAATGATCTTCACTGGGGCCTTAGCCTGACTTGGTGTGACCCTAGGAAGTCCTTTGAGCCACCCAGAGAGGACTCTTGCTGTCTTCATAAAGGTGACCCCCGACCCGAGGCACCCAAGCCTATGACCAGCACTGGTCTAATTAGGATGGGTATCAATACGGGAACCCATTGCCCCCAAGAAAGACCTAGAGAGACATTCAGTGAGAGGCAGCCACGTTCGTGGTTGATGGAGAACAGTGATGCCTGTATGGACCCAGGCTCGCTAGGGCTGCATTCTTTATCCTGGAGGTTGACCTGTCGAGCCTCCCTTTAGCACCCATTTCACCCGCTCATGGAGCGGGGATGCTGCGGCAGGCCCCCCCTCATGGATTTAGGCTCCATGCCTTTAACATTGTTCCTTCCTGGAAGGGGGAGAGTCTTTATGTGGTTTGGAGGTCAGAGGACGTGATCTTGGTAAAGAAAACAAGTCCCTTGGCTAGGGAATGGGCAACCACCTGGAAGAAACTATGCAGCCGGAACTATTTCCAGCTATAATTGACTCACTTTCACCTGTCAAAATAGCATTAAGCACCAGTAATAAGCCCTTTAAACAAACAGGCTGTTAATCCTGAGATTGCAACATCTTCCTTTGCAGGAACTCCCGGGAGGAAATACTGCAGGAGAGACGGATGGGAAAGGGTTCTCCTTTTCGCAAGGGGAGGGGGCAGGAATGAGGGCTTCAGGGGCCTTAGGATGGATTTCTGACAATGGCCCCCTCCCTCTGTGCGGACACTGGGCCCTGTAGGGTTTGGGTCCAGTAGGGCATCACTGAGAAGGTGGGCAATGTCTGTATTGAGAGGAAGGGCTTGCCTCTGTTCCCGCCAGGTGGGAACTTACCTGGTGTTTACTGCAAGAGGAAGAATGAGCTGGTGAGGGATGCAGAACAAAGGCATCTGAGAAAACAGCAAGGGGTCATAGAGAAGAAGGCTGAGGAGGAATCTGGCTAAGAGGCAATCTGGCCTATAGCATCAAGAACATGAGCTTTGGAGGTAGGGACACCTGGGTTCACATCCCAGCTCCGTTACTCCCTTGGTTGTATAACATCCTTGACCAGGTGACTTGTCTCCTGTACCCTGCTTTCTCTATTTATACTGGGGAGCAATACCTACGACAGAATGTGTGTCCTGTGCCAACACAGGGGAGACAGACAATCAGTCATAACTACTGTGATCATGGCAGCTGCCACCAACCACCAACCAAGGGATTAGACTTGTCCTGTAGACTCAAGAGGTAGAAGCAGGACCAGAGGGTGAAATCACTGGGAGGGAAATTTATTTAGGCTCCATTTAATAAAGGAGTCTATAGAACAATGGACTAAGTCAAATTCACCTGTCAGGAGTCTTTACCTCAAAGTTCCAATATGGGTTGTAGTTTGCAGAATAATCGTATTTCCTTATTAAAAATCTGTTGTCCAACAAACACCCCATTTATGAGGTGGGACAGGATAAACACTTTTTTATTGTGGTAAAATATACACCACGTAAAATTTACCATTTTAACCATTTTCAACTGTGCAGTTCAGTAGTGTTAAGTATTTTCACATTGTTGTGAAACAGATCTCCAGAACTCTTTCTTCATGCAAATACAAAACTCTACTGATTAAACACAGGTCCCCTTTTCCTCATATATCCAACCCCTGGTAACCACCATTCTACTTCTGTTTCTATGATTTTGGCTACTTTAGATACCTCATATAAGTAAAGTAATATAGTATTTGCTTCTTTGTGACTGGCTTATTTCACTTAATGTAATGTCCTCAAGTTTCATCCATGTTGTAGCATGTGTCAGAATCGCCTTCCTTTTGAAGGCTGAATAATATACTATTGTATGTATATGCCATGTTTTGTTTATCCATTCATCCATCAATGGACATTTGGGTTGCTTTTACCTCTTGACTCTTGTGAATAGTGCTGCTATGAACATGGGTCTGTGAATAGCTCTTTGAGACCCTGCTTTCAATTCTTTTGGATATACACTCAGAAATGGAATTGTTGGATCATACCATAGTTCTATTTTTAATTTTTTTAAGGAGCCTCCATACTGTTTTCCATAGTGGCAGCACAGTTTTACAATCTACCAACAGTGTACAAGAGTTCCAGTTTCTCCACATTCATCCAACACATGTTATTCAATTTATCCACATCCTGGCCAACACTCATTATTTTGGCTTTTTGATAGTACAGCCCATTGAAACCATTTTAAAGTGTACAATTCACTTAGAAGAAATTCACTCTTATAGGAAAACATAGGGAATCTCCTTATGACCTTGGGTTTGGCAATGGTTTCTTAAGTATGACACCAAAAACACAGGTAACAACAACAGCAACAAACAACAAAATAGATAAAAATGGACTTCATCAAAATTAAAACTCTTTGTGTGCCAAAAAGACAATATATCAAGAGAGTTAAAAAGCTACCCATAGAATAGGAGAAAATATTTGCAAATCATATTATCTAATAAGGGATTAATACCCAGAATATATAGAGACCTCCTATAACTCAACAGCAACAAAAATCAAACAACCCAATTCAACATGGCCAAAGGACTTGAATAGACATTTCTCCAAAGTAGATATACAAGTGGCCAATAAGCACATGAAAAGGTGCTCAACATCACTAATCACTAGGGAAATATAAGACAAAACAACAATGCGTTACAAATTCACACCCACTAGAATGGCTATTATCAAAACAGTGGAAAATAACAAGTGTGAGGAAGTTAGAATCCTTGTGCTTGTTGATCAGAATGTCAAGTGGGAATTGACTTTGAGCACCCTAGTGTCTTCATTTTACAAATGAGGAACTTGATGACCAGACAAGTTGGGTGATTTGTATGAGGTCACCCAGCCAGTAAGAGTCACAGCCATGAACTTAACCACATTGTCTCACTTTAATGCAATGCACCAGATGCAGCAGAAATTCACACCCACCCAGTTCTGGATTTGGGGGTGCTTTGAGCTCAGGGGGCTGGGAGCCGCTGCACTGAAGATGTGGTGTTAGGAGACCGCAGTGGATAGCAGCGTGTCAAGACTCCACCTGCACAGCACTGTTATCGCAAGCGCAGGGCAGCTTCCCCACCAAGCAGAACAAGCGGGAAGGTCAGGACGCCTCAGAACAGCCTTATAAGATAGATACTATTTCCATCCCCGATTTACTCATAAGGAAAGAGGCTCAGGAATGTGAAGAGGATTGCTCAAGATCACTCAGATGGGAAGAGGGGGATTAGAATCCACATGTAGAGGCTTCAAAGTCTCTGCTTTTCCCGCTGCCACCCGCCTTCCCAGATCCTTGACACATAGACTGACCACTGTCTGTTGACCATTGATGCCCCAAAGACACTAATTGATTAATGTTGACTTCATGGAGATCTTTAAGAACAGGCCACCAGCACCCTGTCCTGCCAACTGTCCCCATTTTTACCAGTGACTTACTTGAAGGCATCAATTGTCTGCTTAGCAAATTCACAGGTGATGTGACTTTTGGGGAATTCGCAATATTGGGGGCCTCAGAGTTGAATCCAAATTTCTCTTGACAGGCTGAAACAACGAGCCAATCTAAGAGGAAGAAATTTCATATGAATGAATGCAAGATTCTGTACTTGGGTTCCAAACAGTTGTACAGGTAAAAAGGGATAAACAGTACCAACCATCAGCAGATGTGTGGCTGCTCAAAGGGATAATGTGATCTTAGCATTACACATCCACGGCAATGGATGGATGGGTAACATCTTTGAGAGTCAGGGAGGTCAGCGATGGATTGTTGGAGAATCACATTCCGTTTTGGGTACCAGGCTGGAGAGGGGCCACAGTGGCAAAGAAATTCAAAAGTTGAAAGGATTTGGGAAGAGAAGTCTCCAAGGAGTATGAGAGCAATCTTTCTTATTCAGCAAATACTTACAGGCACCTCAAGGGTTCCAGGCCTGTGCTGGGGGAACACAAAAATCAATAAGTCAAGGCTCCTGCCCTTGAAGGGCTCGCAGATTTGGGCTGTGAGTCTCCAGGTATGGACTAGGGTCGGGAAAGGATCTAGAGTAAGTCTGGTTTCCTCTGGACACTGGGAAGAACATTCCAAAAAATAAAGATCATCTGAAATGAGCATAGTTGCTTCTTAGGAACGGATGACTTCTGCATTCTTGGAGATGTCCAGACAGCAAGGGATGCCCCTTACTGGGCTGTGGAGAGGGAAATATGTATTATACAGTTAGGGTGTTAGTTTGCTAGCGCTGCTGTAAC